GTCATGTGAACTTATTTTCGCTTTGCACGCTAACATTGTCCAAACCTAAAATTACGTTTTAAACCTACAATGCTGTTGCAAGATTCACTGTAGCTTACAATGAATTTACAATAAGCTTCTGTGAACTCTACAACATCATATTAACATTTTAAACAACAGCAAAATCATTGCTCAGTATTAAAGTAGCACCACATGACGGTACATGACGATAAATTTTAAACTACATATCAATGTAACTATGTACCTAAAAACTAATTACTTTCTAGACAATAACGAAAAAGAAGAGCAAAAAAGAATTGGAAAAAGATACAGCTGATGAAAAGTTCTCTAAAGTAGTTGAATCAATTCTAAACAAAAGTAAAGAAAAACAGGAGAATTCTATGCTATGTACATCTGCAAATACTGAAGCTACATCAAAGAAGATCAATGAGAAAAAAATGAACAAAAAACTGATAAAGGTAATATCATGATGAATTTATTGTCAATGAAGCTCAAGCTAAATCATAATTTGTTCTAAGTACTGTCAATGACTACTTAAACAGATTTCAAAACAGCTTTAGCTTTAGTTCTCGTTTCCCAAATCAATTTTTTTATAGCAAGTGATAGTGTAACTTGAGGGATCCTTCACTTGGCGCAGTCCGTGTACACTTGGTAATCCAATCAGATTTACAGTCCCTGCAGTTTCCTTACAATCTTTACAATTTTTACAATCTTTGTAGTCTCTACAGTCTCTAAAATATGTTTACAGTATCTGCATTCACATAACAGTCCCTTACAGTCCCTAACCAATCCTTTAGTATCCCTTACAGTCCCTTACAGTAACTTACAGTCTCTAACAATCTTAGATGCAGTCACTGCAGTCCTTTTTCAGTTTCTAACTAATCACCCACACTATCGAATAATCGTCTCAATATTTACTGCCCTAATAATGATTTTTCCCTTCAATCTTACTCTCCTCTTGCTCCAGTCTCGCTTCAGTCTTGATCAAGTCCCTTCAGTGTAACTCCAGTCTTCTGATTA